TGGGATTGTTGATACTAGATACAACAGAACGAAGCTTGTCGACTGGATTTTCTCCAAATTATTTCAATTGCGATCTAATCTCTTAAAACGCGAAACTTTCTTCGTTTCCTTTCGTCTAAAAATATATTTTTATATAAATATTTAGTGATATTTGTAACAAATTGAGCCATTGCGTAGAGTAGATCCAAGTTCGAGCAAAGTTAACTCGTTTAGGACGCGAAATAACGTCATAACTGGTTGAAACTCTTTTTTAGATTTCGTTAAACGATCGAATATCAAAATAATATTAACAATACACGGATTTTCCCCTATTTATCATCACGCGTATTTATAACACCTTATTCTATATATAATATTGCTCTTTTCTTCGCGTCTAAGCTTAGTTATCGATACACGTAATACTCGCGTAGTGTAATTAATAATAAAACAACGTAGTAGTTAATCATTTAAATTTCTTAACATCGAATAAAGAAGAATTTTTTTACAATCGCGCGGTAATGCGTTTACCTGAGTTCTGATCTCCGTTAAAATCTCCAAACTAACAGGATATTAATATTATTTTCAGGAATTGAAAGGGCGACTTCAGGATAGGGAACAGAAGATAGAAGTCCTAGAGATCGAGAAGCAGACGATAAAGGAACAGCTGCAGAACAAGATGGATGAACTCGACAAACTGAAGAAAATGATAAAAAACGATATGGAGGAGTCGAGCAAACGGGAGGACCTTATTCACGATCTGCAAGTTCGCGATGCAGAGATCACGGAGAAGAATCGTAAGATCGAGCAGTTGTCGAAGGAGTTGCAAGTGAAGACACAGAACTTACAGAAGCTGGTGAACACGGAGCTATGGAGCAAGAACAAGGAGATCGCCAAGCTCCACAACCATATGACCGCCACTCACTGTCTCGAAAGGAGCCGAAACAAGTTAGACATGACGCAAGAAAGCGCCAGCACGCAGCTATCGACTCTGATCAAAGAGCTAAACGACATTGGTATCAAGGTAACGTTTACCAATGAGGTGATCCAACTGAACTACGTCGACGGCAACGAGACCATAGACGTAAAAACTATGACAGACTATGTACAGAAGCTGGTAGCCCAGAAAAATGAGTTGGAGAAGGAAGTCGATTACCTAAAGTGGTTGAAGCTGGTTTCGAAACCGGACATCGCCACGGAGATCGATGGATACGGTGATAATCAAACGGAGAGAGCCAAGAAATATTGCGAACTCATGCGTACACATTTGAAAGACTTGGTAAAGTTCATGAAAGAAATGTTGAAAAACGCCAACTACGCGGATACCATCGGCAACGACCATAAGAAGACCGTATTCGACGTTTTCATGAACTCGAAGATACTGTCCGACGATTTCGTCAACGCGCTCGAGGGAATGTCGACGAATGATTTAGCCATTAACACCGATGACGCGAATGTAAAATCGCTGGACAATTCGGTGAAGAAAAGTCGATCTGACAACTTACTCAGCGCTACGAAGAATCAAGCGTCCACGCAGTCAGATTCCGAGGCGTTTTCTGAACCTGATAGGACCGTTTCTATGGCTAGAATTGGATTACAAGAGACGCAACAGAAGTCTTTGAACCGGTCCAGATTTTCCAAGTATACTAAAACGTTCACCGATTCCGAAGACTCGTTGGAATATGTGCCTTATTATAAGTCGTATCAGAACGATCTGAACGATTCCGAAGCCAATTATCAGATACAAGAGCTTAAAGAAACAAACGCTTTACTGTACACGGAGCTCAGTGCTCTTAGGAACGAGTTCACTGCCAAAATTTCTTTCGATTGTGTAAGTATGACCTACGCAATTTTATCAACCCTGTCGCGTTCTTTGCGTTGTTTACAATTGTTTTCTCGTTCGTTGATAAATTTAATTAAGCGCGTGTTAATTCGTGCATTTCTTAAAATATCAAAAATCTCTTTGACTCTTAGTCTTTGTTAAAAATTCGAAAGCATTATTAGGAATTTTGTAAAAATATATCTTAGAAGTCTTTAACGCGATAGTAAAGTAGATGATCTTGTTTTTAAATGTATTTTTTTAATTTTCAGATATTCGACGAAAAAATATCGCCATTGATGATCAAATTGGAAAAGTCGCAAAAGTACTGCGAGAAATTGCAATCAGCTTTGGACAGAAGAGTACACGAAGTCCACACACTGAGGAAAGAAAGCAAACAAAATTGTACGCGTAGAGCGCAATTGGAAAAGAAACTAGCTGATCTGGAGTGCATGGCAACAGAAATGAATAAACAGAAGGCTGAACTAATACATTACAAAGACAATGCCGAAAGAAAAGCCGCGGAAATGCTAATATCGCTCAACAGGGAAAACGACACGGTGATAAATCATTCTTTTCTCAATTTTTACAACTTTAACTATTACGTGTATTCAATGGTATTTAAAACTAGTCGAAAACATAGCTCTTTGAGAATTAATATTTTACCGATGTTAATTGTTATCGTTTGGTAATTATGTTTTCTGAATAATTACAGTTGAGGACACGAATCAAAAAATTGGAAGACGAACACGAATCTGCAAAGACGAGCATATCAACGTTGACGAAAGAACTGGACCATTTGACTCTTTCGCATAGTCAGATTCTCGTGGAGAATACAAAGCTAACGAACGATAAGTTACGTTTAGAGCAAGAAGTAAGGAAAACGGAGAACAGATGTGACATGACTGTTCGTGCCATGCATGATAAATTTAACAAAGAAGTAAGATAATCGATGTTTATGGCTCGAATTAATTAGAATCAATCCATCTTCGATCGTAATACCATTTTGTAATATACCTGTGTACACTTACAGATATCAGATCTGAATCAAATTAACGAATCTCAAAGGGCAAGATTACAAGAATTGGAAGTGACTAATAAAGAGTTGCGAAGACATGTAGCAGTTTGTGAAGCGAGCGATTCAGCGCCAAGTTCCAGTGGCGTTTCTTCCATACCTACAGAGACTATGCTGAAACAAACTTGCGAAGATATCATGCAGGAATATCAAGCATACAACGTTAGTCGAATATTTTTAATAATCGTATCTTTTTTTTTTTAAACGGTTCATTCAAAAGAGAATTTATCGAAAGCTCGAACGCGCTTGTAAGGATTCCGTGTTTCTAATGGACTGCCACTGTTCAATGATCGATGCTTGAAAAGTTCCTTCTATTATATGGATTAAATGTGCAGTCAATTTAAAAGCGTAGTAGAAATTTTATAACGATTGATATTTTAACTATTTTCTGGGATTATTTGAAGATTGTGCTAAATTATATTATTTTAGAATTCGCAGTACTGGCTACCTATAAGCTACTCGACGATTGGCGGGCGCAGTAAAACAAGCTGTTCACCAGACCTGGGAATCGAAAGTGACGCGGCTGTTACAACTATGAGGCCGTTACAAGACACTTTAAAAATCACCGAATCCATGACTAATCTGTTGAGCGATGAAGATAATAACAATGGTAATAGGCCAGTTCGAGAGGCCGATAGCGAAAGCCCTTTGCCGATAGAAGGTAACTTATTTTTATAAATTATAACAGTTGCTATACAATTTTATTTTATTTCAATCATACATTCCTAATTCTTCGTTATATATTTCAACAAATAAAACTTATTATCCATCAGGCCTCGATGAAGTAGAAGCTTTGAAGCAAGAAAATGAAACACTGAAAAGAAGATTAATGAAAACAAGAAGGGCATTGGAAGATACTTTCCAACATCTTTCTGCGTCGAATAAAAACAAGAAAAACGTCGAGAAAGCGATAACGAAGCAATTACAGATTACTAAGAGCATATTGAAGAAAACAAGGACGTACGAAGAACCACTGGACAATTGAAACTATTAAACTACAGAAAAATATCATTCATTCGCCAGAGAATAGAGAACCAAATGAAAAGTCGTCGTTCGTTGTCAGTTTTTAAAGAACTGAAATTATCCTCAACTTTTTTAATCGCGTTTTTACTATATTTCTGTATTTCATACGTTTTTCGATTCATATGAAAATTTAGAACAATCGTCAACGAACGAATTGTATCTGTACAAATGAAAGAAAAACGGCGGCGACGATTATCGTATTTTGTAAGAAAAAGTATTTTCGTATATTCGTGAAACATTGAACGAAAAAAGGGAAGATGTAAGAATTAATATAGAGAAAAGATGACGATAAGGAAAAAAGAAAGAAAGGAATCTTCGTGGAAAAAAACGAAGCTGTATATGTAAGTTTTGTATATAATCGTGTATGTGTATTCGAATTCTTTTGTAGATTGTTTCTTCTCTTCGAAGGTTACTACAACCTTATCATCGAAACGAAAGCTGTCCATTTTACCGTATCTTCGAGTTCTCGACGTCCCGAAATTCGCGCGCGTGTACATACGAACACCGAGAAAGTCATTACACAGCATCTGTACATAATCTTCACAAATAAAGTGCCATTGATATTTGACAAAAAAAATGACGTTAAAGTTAGAAAAAATATTACTTCTTACTTCCAGTTCCAATTTATATTTTCGTTTATATTTCCCTTCGTATCCTATGTTGTATTCTTGCAGCCAATAAAAATTTTAAAAGACTATTTTCCATTTACTGTCGGATGTACATGTGATATGAGTAAAAACAAACTAAGCAGACAATAAATTTTACTTACATAAAATTAGAATAACTTTTTTCCCCGCTGTTCTGGACAACGGAAATATCTTATAAATAGGGGCATGTTTTACATAAAAAATATTATTAAATCTTATTCGTAAATCTCAATTCTCAAAGCTAGACAATAATTTACTAGAAATTACGTTGTTTACATTCGTTAGAAAATATTTAAAAAAATGATAACGAGATATATGCTAAAATAGAATAAAACGACGAACTTGATAAAAACTAACGTTAATAGAATGTCTGTAAAATTAATGTGCAAAGAATAAATTTTGCTTAAGCTCGTGTACGGATAAAAATGAAGAGTTTGAAAGTACACAGTACAACGTGATATAGATTACGATAGAATTTTTATTATCACTCGATGACTAGATAATAATATAAAGATCCGTAGTAACTCGTGTCGATGAAGTTATGAATTGCGCTAGTCATGCGAATCTTTTTTATTCATCTTTATGAAACCCGGTGAGGAGTGTGTGTGTTCGATTTTCATAACTGTACAACATTCAGTTCTTTTACCCGACGAAATATATCGTATTTCTGTTTCAGCTCTCCTTTCAATTTCAGTTCATCGAATTTTCGCGGGTAAAATAATCGGGGCGACGTATATACAATTCTACAATGATATATTTTTTTTTTATCGCTCCTTCTCGGACGATGTGCGCTATGTTTCAAGTACTATATCGCTCGAATAATACGAGGCATATAGGAATATTTGAAAAATAAATTTACAAATCATGTCGTCGTAAATCTTGAACAAATATACATAAAAAATTTTACGTTTGTTACGTAATTAATATGGTGTGTGTGTATATATATATATATATATATATATGCCTCATATTACTACATATACGAATGAAGTTAGCCATCAATCGGAGACTTACGTCGATCAATTGAATCCGTTGCTTTTGATTATCGATCATCTATATATAAATCTAGGCATGCTGTCACGAATATGTATCTCGCGTGTACATACATATGTATACAATTTATACATAATCGCGCATATACATATATGCGTTGAGACAAGAGTACAATTGACATCGTTACGACTTTGATTATTTAACATTGTTACCGCTTTACAGACAGAACCTGGTAAATTGTGCATTTGTACGCTTTAGTCTAATATTTAAAAAAGGTATTAATGTAATTTATTTTCCATATCCACAAAATTTTTAAGTAAATTTACAGCTTGATCTGTGAAGCGTTAACCGCGTAAACGAACGTTCGTTCAAATGGAATCGATTGATCGAAATATCTCGCGACAGTGCCTTTCCGATGCTGTAAATCGATAAAAAGTGACGCAGAGCACGTCAAAGGTGTAATCTACTGACGCTCGGTTTCACCAACGATAAACAAACATGCAAAGTAAACTTTGATTCGGTATTCGATCAAATGGCGTCGTGTTTGTTTGTCGATTTCGTTTACGTTGGTGGAATCGAATGGCGATCGTCTAATAAGTCGCGAAAAAGGGACTTACTTTCGAGCGACAATCATGGATGTTGATATTCGTTGCGTTGTCACGCTAAGAAACATCTTCGTTATGCTTCACGATGTAGACTACACGATTGGTTTTGTTTATGGATACATCGATCGTTGTATCCATAAGGGCAAGCCTCTCTCGACTTATCATAGTTCTCCACGATTCACCAGTCGCAAGTAAACCTTTTTGCAATAAATTACAACACAATTAATAATCCACACCTGGCTGTCGTTCGCTCGAAAATCACACTTCTCGAATCAATTTGAATAAGGCGTTCGGAAATCACGCGACGACGTTCGATCTAACGTGGACAATATTTCCACCACGTCTTCGCTCGTCCGTTTCTTAAAGTGGACTGAACGGTTCGCGGTAAGTAGAACGATTCTGATTGGTCGCGAAGCTGGCCAACTCTGTAGCACTAAATTCGTACGTACCTACATTTTATGCATGTACTTTACATTAGAAGAGCGCGACATTCGATATATATTCATTATGAAAAAAGTGTAAATCGTTTGACCAATCGAAACTGATTTTACAATCTACGCTTCCTCGATCGAACATTCACGATTCCGTGCTATGTCACAGCTTCGCTAACGAAAAATAATGAACCAGTCTCGTGTGTAATTATCTCGCATTTATGAGAAAATCGATCTATCGAGCGTCGATGGAAAAAATTCATTAGTGCTTCAGGGTTAACTTTTATTTCGAATTTCATTTGCGGACGGCGTCGCTTCCTTAGAGATCGCTGTACGCCTATCCTTCCCGTCTTTCCTGCTTTCGCTCTACCTCCCATTTTTCCTCCTTCCCTTACCGTAGTACAATAAAATCTAATCTGAACTATGTACAATAAACGACACTTGAAACTTCTAGCGTCACGTAAGCGCGGTATACCATAGAAACGTGTCCCGCGATGTTCACGAACGAAACGATATCTTTCGTCAAGTACGATCTCTACGAAACGCAATTCGTTCTACGGGAATGCGTATGTATTCGCTAGAACGAATGCCAGCTCTTTACGCGTACGAATACCCATTCTTGCAAATATCTTGACGATTTCGTTGAATACCAACATACATGTACGTTGGAAAAAAAAGTTCGTTACGAAGTATCGTCCTTTCGAACGATATCGATTCGTTGTGAACAACCGGTCTCGCGACACGTCTAAACTACCCTCTAGTATTTCTTTATTCGACGATTAAACTCCATAGTACCGGGAAACGAGGAACTTGTACATAAATATATTTAGATTAATCGTACCTATCGAATGCGTATCGTATACGCGCTCTAAATGTAACTTTATACGACAGCGACATATGGCATCATTCCGATGATGGGAACCCCGCCGGGACGGTGAAGTGTACGGTGTGGAATGACTCCTGTGGCTCGAGACGGTGCTCGATCGTCACGCATATCCTGATCGAGTTCCGCTCTTATTAGGTGGATCTCTTGGTGATACACCGAGAACACCGAGATCCTCTCGAGATCGAGACTCGCGAACGTAAGATCGTCGACGATCGACGAAAGTGGACAGGTTGATGATTCGATCGAAGGCTTAGTCTTTTAATTGAGTCTTGCCTTATGGATAAAGATCGTCAGGTAAACGCCTTGCGCCGATCCGTTCTTCCGAACGGTGCTTGGCAACGCGTCAGTTTGCCGGGTTATGTGGCGTAGTGGGAATGGTGGTGAGCGTGTGGAGGTGGTGGTTCGCCGAGCCATGAATCGGGCGAGGGTGGAAAGTCCGGGTAACCACCTCCACCGCCGCCTCCGCCGCCACCACCACCTCCGCTCGATTCGTTGCTCAAATCCGATGCCGGTCCTGGTACCATGCCACCTGTGCCTCCTGCAACATGCATCGTCCAATTTTTCCATTAACATTTTCGCCTTTTTTATAACACCGTGGCTTGGAAATGTACGGTGGTGGTGAAATTTAAACGAAGGTGCGTTTAATGTTAATATAGACTGAAATGAATATAATCGTAAGCGCGAATCTATTAGGCCATATCGTGGAGAATATTTTTCGCGACCAATAAATGGTGAAACGAAATTAATGGTGACGCGATCGAAACTTGATTTTCGCTCCTGTTGTCTTTCTATATACGCAACGTATCTACTTATATGTTTTCTTTTATATCGAAGAAAGATAGTGTCCTACGGATCTAGATTCTTTACACGATAGATAAACTAGATATTCTAACCGGAACCGGAGGATTACGATATGATATACAATATAGAAATGTGACGTTTACTTACCAAGGGTAGTGTAGACGGAGAGGCCAGCATCCGGTGGATATGGAAATTGAGGTGGTAAGGACGGTGATCTGGACGTTGAGAGATAAGGGGGAGTTGTTGCACCCAAATAACTACGTGGAGGGCCCCCGCCTGCCCCATTTCCACCCCCACCTGGACTCGCGCCTTCACCATCTAATCCCATGTTCACCACTGTTCCGTAACTATCGTTACTCAAATCTAAATGTAAAGATAACATAATCATTATTTTATTGTCCTATAAGAGCTTGCTCCGAATATCAGGACAGGTTATAACGCTGTAATCGATTAATGACATAAAATTGCTACTTGTATTTTAAATTTGCAAAGGAATTTACGCAGTCATCGTTATCTCCTTTAGTTTGTAGCAGGAAATAAAATTATATCCAACATTTACGTGAAACTAAATCTAGTCAAATTTTCTTATAAAATCTCTACGTCGGAAATTTGTTGTTTTTAATGTAAGATTACAATTTTAACCGTACCAGAGACATTTTTCTTTTTATGGTAGCGACGTTAAGTATATATGATTCGAATAACTTTGTATTATATCTGTCAGGTGCAAGAAAGGCACTGGATAATGAAGCCGTTTAAAATTTAAACAATAGCTGAAGTTTATATGACTTTACGGCGTGTATGGTTAACGATCGGCATAAATTTCAGCATGGTCCGCAATCTTCCTGAAATCTCGGACACGGCGAACTAGCAGTTAGCCTCCACGAACTCTTGAATAATTGACGAGATCGTCTTCCCCTTTGCTAAACGCTCGAGTACACGAAAGCTTAGATGTAACCAATATTAAAGCGAAAGCAACAGAGCCAGACAACAGGTAATTTTTTTTTAAAGCTTCTGTATAGTTTTGCGTTTTTGACGATAAGTATCTCTTTACATACGCATGTGCCTAATTATAACTTTTTTTATATGATATCTTTTTTACGTATAATTGACAAGTCAACGATATTTTCTAGCTACGCTTGTTCTACGCTTGAAAAACTGATAAATTTGTCGACTAAATCTATTCGCGAAAAAAATCGTAAGCGTACTAATTAGCGACATAATTATTTAAAATATTTATGTAAACACTGGTTCCTTTCATCTTAATACAGAAACCTATTTTTTATCCTTTGCAATTTTTGTTATTATAAATTTCTAGCACAAAGAGTAGCGACTTTTAATAACGAAATCTCTTGAAATATACACACACGAGGGTATTCGGCGATAGCGTACCATTGCTTGTAACATTTTCTCGTTTCGCGAATCGAAAGGAACGTTTGTGCACGCAGAGAGGAAGCTGCGTACATTTCGTGATATTGGAAGTACAAATAACCCGTTATGGGTCGCTTTTCAATGCCCGTTTCTAATAACGCAGCGCAATTTTGCACTACGAAACTGCCAAGAATTTTATCTCGTGCAGAAATCACGAACATCTACTATCATTTTTACGTTCATATACAACGATAAGTAAGATAAATTATGTAGTCGTAATTAAATAATTGAAATTTATCAATAATCGATCTATACTATAATCTACCTCAACCTTAATCAAACGTTAATCTACAATGTGTGTGCCTGTATCTAAAGGTCATTTTTCTATTATATCGTATTATCTGTATCTCAAATAATACAACCGGTATAAAATTTATAGTATCGATTCAGAAGCAGTCGAAGCGAAAGTTTAAATACGAGCGATAAGGAAATTGGACACAATGATATATTAAGCGTGACTAATCGTAACCATTACGTACCATGGTGACCAAAGGTGGCGTCTAAGTCGACTTTAAGCTCGTCCTTATCAAGAAGCTTATCATGCCTAGGTGAATGTCCACCTGCACCCGTTCCTTTCATACTTCGAAAATACTGAGACCATCTTGTTCTACCCGCGTCTTTCTTCAGTCTCTTCTCTTTTGCTCTCCTGGAAAAAGAGAAAAGCAATATGAATCTCCATTCTTGAACTTTAACTTTTACGTGTAACCTTGGCTCAGGATTTTTTAGAAACTACTTAGGTAAACTATTACAATACCGTATCCGGTGTAAATTACACGTAAATCAGACGTATTTTTTTAATTACAGTACATTTCGGTTTGGAGGATTGGAATTACAAATAAAGCTCAAAGTAAATTCTGTTAGATTATAATACTTGTACCTTCGTTGAATCTGAACGATGATCCGTAGTACGAGATTTACTCGATATCACAAGGCAAATATCTATTAATATGTATACAAAACAAAAATAAGTGATACTGCGATAACATTTTTATATACTAAGCGAATAAATGACGCAGGAAAACCCACTTGAATTTCACGGAAGAGAGCCTTAAGAGAGTGACTCTACAGAGTTAAAGTATTCCACACGTGTTAATTTTTAAGATTTTTACGGTATTTTATCGCCGGTCATTGATGACATAAATTGCGATAATAATACTTTGTATCGAGATTGTCACAGTTTTCCCCGTTTTCAACACGAAGCCATAGGATTATGGTATACGAGCGAATAGGATCGATAAAGTAATTTTTCTTAAGTTATGTGCAACGTTGTACACAACGATGTTCTCGATAGAGATAACAAGAAGTCGAATTGGAAGAAAAATCTTAGATTAGTGTGATAACCGACGATCCATGTCTGCCATAGATATATTATGAATAATGTTGCTGTTTTTGAAAAGTTGATAAATAATTCGATTATTCGAATAATTTATAATCTTCAGTTTCAAGTAGCGATTTTAATAATAACTTACAAACACTTATGTCGTAGGCAGTTTTTAAAAGTGCGATAAAAATCAACTTAATACGATATTCCAATTATAGCTACAAACTACGATATGTACGTACTTAGTTATTACATGGATAAGTACCGTTTTCATAATTTACGTACAGATTAAAACATTGCTCGAAAGTTTATGTATCCCTCTACCCTCGTTATTTTCTTTTAATTTAAGTTTCATTTTTATTTAAGTATCTTTTCAAAGAAATATCACGACATTAGAAAACTACATTTAAACGATTAAAAAATTAGCCACGATCGTGTAGCAGGTATACCTTATACCATACAATGTGTCACAAAAAAAGAAAAAGAATAAGTCGAAAATACAGAATAGAATTTTTCCAAATGGGATTTTGTTTTCGAAAAAATTGATCTTCCACGTTCTTCTGGAACGCGTACTCGTGTACTCAACTATATCGTGATCGGGCGATTCTATTATGTCTGTCCTTCGCAAATAACATTAATATCACTAGTTGATTTCTTATCAGGCTTTGTGCAAAATAAGCCGTCGACTATAATAAGGCAAGTAGTTTTTAAGATTTACCTTACTAATGCACAGATAAATCTATTATGCAGCCTTTTTAACGTATTTTATATCTTTAATTCATCGAACTTTTAACCACCCAAGGAGAATATTCAAAATCGATCTTCTCGAAAACGATACGTTACATCCATGAACAAATTTTATTCTACTTTTTCGCGTAGAATCACTCCCTTTCCGCTTGTGTCGTAATTACTACGATACCCCATGTTTCTTTATACTGGCGAGAAATATTCGATCCTCGAACGAATACTTAATCATTCGCGAATTGAACTTGAATTTTATTCAATACATCGATGTACATACGTACCTGTTTTGGAACCAAACTTGAACCACGCGCATGTCGAGTCCTGTATCCTGAGAAAGTTGCTCTCGCACGTGTCTCGCTGGCTTAGGACTGGTATTGTACGCTAATTTTAAAGTTTCCAACTGTTTCGCTGTGATCGTGGTCCTTGGCCTTTTGTTTGGTTGGTCACCGTCTATACTTCCTCCGTCTGCCAATTCTATGATACAAAGGGATCAATAATAGATATAAGTCGTTTAAACGTCTGAGAGTGATTCTTTTCGCGCAATCTCAGGATCGTAGAAGAAGAGACTGGATCGTAAAATAATAAAAATATATGGAAGCAAGTACAACGTACATATACGTTACCTTTTGCCTTCGCCTGCTCGTAGTCAGGTTTACAAACGAGCTTTCTATCTTCCATGAGGTAGAACTCGTCCCCAGTGTCCAACTGTCGAGAGCAAAGGGCGCACGAGAAACAAGTTAGATGGTAGATCAATTCTTGCGCCCTACGCACGACTTGCGACGGTGCCAATCCTTGGCCGCAGCCCGCGCATTTCGTCCCAAAACGCCTGCCATACCAACAACATACAACATTTTCACATTACGTTCGCGTATTAATTGCAGCAACATCTCGTTCGATCAAGGTTGCACCGCCTTGAAAAACAGAAAATATTAAGTAGAACCGTTTGAAGATAGTTCATAAAAATACGAATGTAGAGCGTCGTCAAGAACGATTTCATACCTGGCAGAATTAGCGAGAAAGGTACCCGACTGTTTCTTGACGTTCTATTAATCGGAATCTGATTTCCAGTTTTCTCTGTTTGCACGAATAAATGACACGAGACTAAATATACGGGTTGCTTAGAACGACGACAAACAACGCAAAAATATCATCCTTTGGCGTAATAACAACGTTCTTCCTAGGAAAATCGAAAAGGTACTTTTGCGCTGAACCATTATCCCTACCCTTTTGGCTTCGCTGCGCGTGGATGTATGTTGCGTTTCGTTTCCAAAATGAAAATCAAGATCGAAAAGTCGGCGTTTTTGATACGTGGGAGGTCGATATTCGAAAGGATTTCCAAAGTTGAATAATCGCGTGAAATTGTGAAATAATCGTGTTGAAATTGTTCGCGCGAGTATCAGTATGTTCGATTTTCGTTTCTTTGCCGTACCGTATAATTAGGAAAAGATCTGCGTGGTGTTTTGCGAGGAAATCGGGAAACTTCGATAGTACATCGAGCAGGCGGATAATTCTGAATTTGAAATATATAAGCAACAGGTTCATTCAGGTTCTCGGTCGAGATATAAACTGAAATACCGATATTATAAAATGTCACGAGGGCCCTATGATCGCCTGACCTATCCGGTTTAGACCTTTCTCTTTATCATTGCATGCCATTAAGCTAAGTAATTTAAACGAGTAGCCCGATGCGCGTAAGCAGTTGATTAACGAAACTACTGTATCAGCTGCTGTATTAATATTTAAGATAGAACAATCTTGCAGTTAATGAAACGCCTTTCTGCGTTTATAGAGACGCGAGGTTATTCCGAATAATAGAATTATCAATAGAATTTGTCCATGTTACACGCAATATCAAGTAAATAACGAAACATAATTAGAGTAGTTTGAACACGATTGATTATCTATGTCATGCTACATATATTTTTTACATCTGCAAAAAGGAGACAAGGCAATCCATGGATTATTTACCTTTGTACTTATTGTCAGAACGATACTTTCGACAATTTTGACAAAGTCTGTCAATTTGATCGATAAATTACGCGTATAAAAGTATCGTAGGAGATCTTAAAATTTCGACCTTTCGATTTTACATTTATTTTAGCAAACAAAAATTTATTTCATCGGAAGAACAGGATCTTGATGATCCCCCTTGGCATAAAATCGGAACGAGATATCGCACGTGTCGGTAATTATTCGCGAACAAGTTAAAAGTGACTGAAAGAACGGAGCAAAGTTAAATAGAAACTATTTTAGAATTAAGTTAACGATACTTTCAATGATATTTCCAGAGATTCCTACTCTGTTTCCTTTTAATACGAGCTCTATAATTTTTTCAAATTTACTTTTCTTATTTACTCCCTTAACATAAACACACCTGTATACATTCGGAGAAAACAATGTACACGTTCGAGATTAATCACAAAGCTTGCAGTCGACGTTACATACAAGGAATAAGTGGTTCGTCAAACTCGAACGTTGCTCGTAACGCCTTTGAACGCACCAGCGAGTTTACCAGTTTTCCTGAAAATTCCTGAACCCTAGGAAATGTGGAATACCAGGGAGAATGGTAGGACGAAGGGGAAAGAGGGTAAGTTCCTTCGATTTGGCTCGCAGGAGAAGAAAGATGGCGTCTAGTCCTCGCGAAGGTGTGGGTAGATGAGAAAAGGCACTCTTTTCTCGCACAATCGATATCAGTTGCTGGATATATATGCGCGTTTGATCCAACTTGTCTCTCATTTTTCTACCAGGTACATCCACTTTTTTTCATTATCTACCGAGAATAATGCGGACTTTCGGTTCCGCAGGTGCAATTTTTGCAAGCGATAAGTAACAGTCGATAAGCGTTTTATACCTTTTCGCTATCTGTTTAGATAATATCTTAAAAAAATATCGCACTACAGCTCGTCGATACAATTACGTAATAATTTACCGTACGTAGATCGCCCGATGGTTCACACGCTTATAACACGCAATAGTAAAATATGTTAAATAAACGAGAGTCTCGTCGTGAGTATAACGTGGAATACGTACACAGGTATACAGGTATAGCGCCCTGTTTCCTCTTTGGAGAATAAGGAAAAATTCTTTTAGCTTCTATATATGTATACAGGTGTATCGCGTATCTTGCTATTTTATTTTGGTGAATTTTATGCAAGAAATACATGGAACGAAAAAATATTTCAAATAACTTGTATTATTATAGCTTAGTTTTATCAATGTATACTTTGGATCGTCGTAAACGTGTAAATAGGTCGGTAGATTAACAGCATTGTTAATATATCATATAAACAGGTTGGTGGCGGCTAGCTGGTGATGTATGACCGCTTGTTAGTTCAACAAATATACGTAGCTTACATTTTATTAATCGAACGTTTGTCACAACGAGAACAGACATAATATATGTAGGTCAACGTATATTATACCATGTATTGAAATAACGTTAATTTCATCTTATAAACTACAAACACGCACACGTACATTTTTAACATTTTCTTATATCGCGTATACGTATCTATACAGGAGACTGGACGTAAAATTCATCCAAGTACCAGTATCTGTGTGTATTCTTATCAACGAATGAGACAGCGATTATAAATTATATCCCGAGTTTGATCGCAGATGTATAAAATAATTTTCGATCGCGTGCTCTAATAGAAATACAAGAAGTCTGGACAATTTCGAAATTGACGATCTTTTGAATATAAATTCTGTCGATAGAAAAGTGCGAGCGAGAAGGTAGAGCGTGATAAAAATAATTGTTGGTACTTACTTGAAGAAGTCGTCCTTGCAAAAGACATGGCCGTTTCTTGCGAAACATTTATCAGTCAATCTTGCACCACAATCCCGGCACGTGAGGCACCTTGCATGCCAACACCTTTCCAGAACTCTCAGAACGTATTTGTCCAAAATCGCTTCCTGACAGCCTCCGCATTTTGGTATCGAAGCTGTAACATTCGACAGAAGATCGTTTAATACTTAAAGATGTCGTTAAAAGTATCTGTCGGAAACGCGAGCAGCTGGAACTTGTAGATACAGGTTGGAATCTGTAACTTTAACTATACGTTCTATAATACGATCTCAACTATAAGATTCTTAAATAGATTATTATTATTTATTAGCTTCGCAATCGAAATCGTAATAAATTAAAGTCGAAAGAAGATAGAAGCCCAAAGTTTCAGATTTAGTCAAACTATATTACGAGAGCGATATTGAGAAGAAGAAGACACGGATTATCGAAATATCATAATTGCAACAGCACCTTACGATATAACACAAGTTTTCGTAAATAATAATGTACCACTGACTATATACTTTAGCTTTAAGTTAAGTTATCGCTAACTTAACCGTATCTTTATTTACGATTTAACATAATTATAATACAAATTACGCATACGATATCTATATCGTTTTTCTGTATGGACAATGGTCTTCTCCAACGCGAGGATGATACCGTGACGATCGTTGTTACGATGATTTTAAGAACGAGCTGTTGTAGTCATACGATGCAGGACTTTGTGACTTATACGTAATAACCGTATCATAATCTTAAAATCAACTCTGTATTACGCAAATGAAATCTTCGCAACTTTTGAATCACAATTATGCACGTAATTTCTATCGTTCGATCTCGGTTCGTGTAACACAACGATCGATGGTTCGGTTCCAGATTCGGCGAATCTTTCCAAATTCAACTACGTGCTAATTTTTCTCTTCTACAAGAATCTTATTTCTCGATTAATTTCACGATTTCAAATTGCTCGGTTCTCTGCTTTAGTTCACGTATGAAACCATCGCAAGTACGCCGAATATTCGAGTTCTTCGCATCTCCATACGCATCGTCTTCGACGCTTGATCGTTACAATATCACGCGCAAATACATAAACTTTTATCTGGGTACGCGAGTCATCGAAACGGAATTCGATCGATTAAAAACCGTACGTTCCCCACTTACAATAGAGGATTTCAGGAAGATTGGCCGGCAAATCGAGTTCCACGGCCGGTTGATCCAAAGGGTGCATCTCGTGGTGAGAAGCGCCGTCGAAGCTGGCGACGTTCGCGACGTTTCCGGTGCTGCTACCGTTCCGCCGGACGTTTTGTGACTCCGGGCTATCGCGTGGCGGTGTCAAGACGTCTTGACGAGCGCGCCGATACATCCCTTCCAGAGGCGAAGCCTCACGGCCCAACATTTCCAGACTTATCATAGTCATAATTGCGTTTTTCGATCCAATTTACGCAGCTTATTCCTTCGTCGTTTTAAACCTTTCCACGATTATTTTCTCTTTTTAATAGAATTTCGACAATCGTCGATTGCGATATTTAACGAGCCCTGATATTTCAGATATCGCGATAAATTACTCCACGATACGATAAATACCGTTTTGTTAGGATTCGTTCCTTTGGTTTATGAAATTGTATTTTTATTAGATTTAATATTCTCTTGCATTCGTTCGACGTCGACCAGCTGGGCGCGAAATTAGGTTTCAAGTTTCGTCCTTGACAAGGATGCTTCGCGATGAGTTTTACTCGACGCTTGTCCTGTGATCGTTCGCAAGCTTTTATCGTCTATATTCTTTTCTCTCTTACGTTACCTGGTTTTACCCAGACATTTATTTATTTCATTCGCATCTACGTTACTAGCACCTAAATAGGACACCTGTCTCGCGATCATCCTTTACTATTCTTCCTTATGTCTATTTATATTCCTTCTCTCTCTGCGCCGTGTGCTTTTGCTTATTCATTTCTTCCTTCTCTTCGCATTTTTATCTTCCGTTTCTCCTAATTTCGTTCGAGTACCTACTCGTATTCGTTCGTTTCCGATCGAAGCAAAGGGTAGATAGCGAGCAATATCAGAGTCGTAAGTTCCACTTAACACCGCGCCAAGCGTTCGTTTCTAAACAACTTATTAATTAATTCCAACTCGATGATCTCGTCGAATCTCGAGCGACATACGTCCTTGTCGACTGTCCACCGATTAGTTCACTTTCACTTTCGCCGAAGAACAAGCAGTTCCAAACTCTCTACCTAGTCCTTGGCGATGAACATTCTTGAAAAGAGCGTCCGAATTTATCGAACCGTTTAACGTCGGTTCGGCCGGACCATTTTCATGCCATGCCATTCCTTCGGATCGGCACAGATATGCGACGTTGTTGGTGTGACAAGAACGAGGTAACGGCGATAGATTATCCGCACTGCCTATCAGTCCATCGAACCATCGTCGTTGTCGGAGATAACGAGAATAATGGAAATTCGTTCGCAACGTCGACGCGAGCAACGTCGGTGAAACAGGATCGCGATACAGAGTGTAGCGAAGGAGCGATCGACGCGATCGGTGTAAGAGTACGCGAACGACTGTTCGAACGATGTTGCAGCTGCTCGTGCGCACGTGACACTCGTGGGTGTGGTGGTTTTATGGTGGGGCATGGGAGAAAGCTATTGGGTGTGGCTCGCACCCAC